GAAGAACCTTTCTGTTTCACAAAAGGTTCTTTGTGGCGAAAGAAGGTTCTTCAGATTATAAAAAGGTAAGAAAGAGATGGTTCTTTAAAGAACCTTTGACTGAATGGTTCTTTGTGGAACCAAAAATGGTTCTTCTGTGGCATCACTTGAAGAACCTTTTGAAGCACCTTTATTTTTAAGAGTGTAGCTCATGCAAATGTAATATTATGGTGCCAGTGCCACCAATCATTAATCATTTCACAACATCAGCTTTGTAAGACAGTCTCTTTATCTTGCCAGATTTAATGGACTTGTTTAAAGAGTTTATGCGTATCTTAAATCTCTATGTTCTAATTTTGATGTATTATTATTTTTAAACTAGAATCACTTACATTTATGGAAGATGTCATTTTTTAGCAGTATGTGTATGTAAATTTCACAGTATATTTGAAGGGCCAAATAGTTAATAATTACTCTGATGATAGTGCACATTGGCTCTTACCATCTTAAATGAAACCCACTCCAATTACACTTTTGTTTCTCCATCCTGGCATATATCTTTATGTAGCCTTGCCTATTTACAGATTCTTTGGTGAGTTGCATGTTCTATTCACCATAACAGCAGAAAGCATCACAGTTTTAGGTTTCACTTGTTTTGAGAAAGTGTTGACTGTCTATCTTGCAGGCATAAAGACCGAATTCAGATATTCATTTATAGTGTCATGAATGAGTAGAAAGCCAGCAAACCCAAATTTGCTTAGGTTTGAATTCCTTAAGATTTTGGTCAAAGGTCATTTTTGTTATAGTTTCTCCCTGTGACCGCATCAGATTCAATTTTATAAAAATGTATCAGATCATTCTTTCAAACCAAAAACTAGTTGCAGTTTTGAGAACATTTTTGGCTTGGCATTATGTGCACTGATTCCCCAACATGTCATCATAATGTTGTATCAGCATCTTTGTTTCCATCTTTTTAATTTGTTGTAATGGAGAGTCTCAATTTAGTCTTCTTCATCAGAAATTAAAATCTAAGTGTTAAAAAGTGCAAGGAACTCTGTACTATATAGTTTGTGACTTACTTTAATGCAGCAATTAACCTTACAATGGAAAACAACTTCTGAATCTGAAATTGCTATAGTAAATTTCATAAATAATTACAAAAAAAAGCATATTTTCTTGGAAACATGCTCCGATAATCTTTGTTTTATTTACAGCTTATTTTTCAGTAGTGAAACATTTTAAAGCATAACAGGCTGCATGCTTCAATGTATCCTTTTTAGGTGATGAATTCAACACAATCAACAAATATAGAATGCTTTTGACCATTTTATGCCACAGGATTTGATGTTACCAATGAATTGTGTCAACTGGGAATTTTTGACAGTTTCATTTGATTTCATTTTTCATAATTTTATGAATCATTTTAATATTCTATCAACAAATATGGAATGCTTTCAATAATTTTAAGCCATGGGATTTGATGTTAAAACCATCACATTTTAACCTTTAAAAGCAATACAATTAATTTGATTTCATTTTTTTAGAAATTAATTTAACTTTTTATATTCAATTGATATTTTATAAATTAACACATTTTGTATTTATTATTGTATCATTCGTTTTATAATTTCTAATTTTTAATAAGTAAGTAAATAAATAATGCACCAGGAGAGGTGCAAAAATGGGTGGTTTGCTCCCATTAACCCTTGTGTGTAGTATTTTGTCTGGCCACTAGATGTCAGCATTCTCAACAGTTGTTTCATACCGTGATAAATCTCCACTATCTTAACGTGAGTTTGTTGCGGTGGCTTCGGCTCGTTGTTTGATTGCTCTTCACTCGCTCACAGTGAATTAGAGATCATCTCATCGAGTAAGTTTTGTCGGCAGTGAGGAGTCGCGTGGCGTCCGCTACACACACGGGTATCTCGACTTCACAAACACCTTCCCCGGTCATTTAGGACTAATAAGGACAAAGGGACGGAGGAGTTTCACCGTGGGAATGACGGAGCCGTGGACAAACGCTTGGCACTAATCTCGGCCAATGACTGACATTAAACAAGGGAGACACATTTTATAACAGGCTGGCGTTGAGAGCAGCCTGAGGACTGAGGCGTGGGTCTCGGAAGGATTCAGCTCTGAATGCTTGCATATCTCAGGGTTTATTGTGTGCGTGTAGTTTTAATGTATCCAAACAATAGGCAGTTTGGAGAGGGGAAGTAGGAGCTTGTAATACACGCTTCCCTTGCGTTTGCCAACTGAAGTCCTGTTTTATATAGCTGGACACTTCTGAGCCGTTTTAGTGCTTGACATTTTTAGCTCTTTGCCGATCCATGTTGATTAATTAAACCCCTCGTTTTACTTAACAATCAGGTTTCGGTTTCTCTCCAGGGACTGCAGGCGCTCTAAACAACTGGACGTTTTTAGCTTCATATCACTATGGATGAAGGACGATAAATGTGCATTTTTCAGGGGAGAGCAGCTTTATGTGTGACTTTTTAATCTAATGATTTAGTTTAAACCCTGACAGAAGTTTTCAACTTCCTGCTTTAGTTTCGCTGGACTCCGGAGTGTTATTGTCATAAAGATTATGGCAGCCGTTGTGAATTACTCTCCTCCGTGGTGGGTTAATTTTCTCCACAGACTGCCTCACTTTAATCTGCAGTTTGAACAAACCAGCAGTGATTTTCGCCCAGAGGACTCCTCGTACCAGCAGGTAAGCCCATGCATTACAGTAACACTGCTACTGTTTGATCCAGATTCCAGCAACACGTGTAGATGAAATGATTTTTGGTGATATGAAATGTTTCGTGTTGAAAAGGTAACGTAGGCTACGTGATACCGATTGTACCCCATTCTAAGCACTGTCACACAAGCAAGGGTGCTGTTTTTCTGTATATAGGCAAAGCTTTAGGCTGGTAATAGCCTTACTGATATTTAGTATGACATGACTAAGTTTTGCTTTTATATTTGTGAGTTAAGTGATTTATTTTGTTTAACCTTTGTTTGAGACATAAGTTGACCCAGTTAGTTCACGTATCTCTTCTCGGCCAACTAAATTAGTTACAAAAGAAGCCAAAGCATCAAGGTTTGCGTGTCATCTAGCAAAGCCGGACTGGAGTAGAGCGACAGATATTTCTTCTTTTGGTCAAAGAGTTCTGCAATCATCCCAGATTTTCCATTTGCGGCTTTCCAGCACAGTAGTGAACATTGTGTTCAAGTCATGTTGAAAAGGTTGTATTTATGGGGACATTCTAAAACGTATAATGTTGTAAAACAACGACTAGGAAAAAAAACCCTGTTTTCTCACATAATTCTTGCCATAAACTTGATCTACTACTAAGACAATATGGCACCGTAATCCAATTTTACATAAATGTTTTCCCCTTAGAAAACCATTGTAAAGACAATGCTTAGCGTGGCTTAATGTAGCCTACTAAGCAATTGATATTAAAAGAACAAACTCGGTATACACATTATAGTAATAAAGCATACTATGTACAAATATACATTTGTAAATACGAACTTCCTAGGAGGACTGAAGGAGGACTTCCTAGGAGGACTACCTAGGGCTGCACGATTAATTCAAATGCGATTGTCATGCACATTTTGTCAGTAAAGCCGGTGTTCTGACGATTTGTGCTACCCGCTCCGATTGTACTACCTCCCATTAAAAAGATAGGTAGCACAAATCAATAATGAAAAATGCGACCCATCAGATTGTGCTACCATCATCTTATTCATGTCGTTTTTAGGCTTTTTTAAATGTCCATAACTACCCCTACCCACCCATACCTACCCTTACCCTTAAAACAATGCAAATATGTTTTTGGTAGCACAATCTGATAGGTAGCATGTTTCGTCAGTACACCTGTTCTGTGATTAGTAGTAAATCTCCAGCACGTGCTTTCAGATGGAGCAGCATTTACTACACGGAGCTGTAGTTCACTGACAAGCTACTCAAAAGCTCGTTCATAATCGCAGAAGATGTAATCGCGCGAATATGCAGTCGAAGAAATCGTTCTGCGATAATGAATGCTGTTTGTGTAGCTTGTCAGTGAACTACGGCTCTGTGTAGTAAATGCTGCTTCATCCGAAAGCACGTGAAAATGCCACATTTAATAACACGTTTTTACTCCAAACTCCCTTTATAACGTCAGTCGAGTGTTTGAAATAAATCATTCTGTGAGATGATGTGGCTTCTTACACAGAATAAGGCACGCAACATATTTCATAGCCTTTATCACTGCTTAGAATACTATGTCGATTAGCATTGCATTATTATATACTTTATTATAATAAAAATTATATATTATAAGATGAACTCCAATAAACCATATATTGTCATAGTCGTGTGTTTATTAGTCACATTGAATTAATCAAAGCAGTTAAATCTTCTGTTTATTCAGCAACAGCTATAGGGATTTCCTTGGTTTCTTCTGCTAGGCGTATTTGGAGTTTCTGCACGAGCGCCCTCTGGCCTTCGGATGGAGATTTACTGCGGATCACAGAACCGTGCTTCACTGAAAGATACGCATGACAATCGCAGCTTCTGCCTAATCGTGATTTATCGCCTTTGCGATTTAATTTCGATTAATTGTGCAGCCCTAACACTATCAAACCCAGAGACACCTCTTTGCCTGTTGAGTTAGAGCAATAGAATGAACTGTTCATTTTAGCTCAATAGTTAGTGGGAGCTTATCTCTTAAAGAGATTACACAGAGCTTTTCTATGTGCACATTTCTTAGTGCAAAAAAAGGTAATAAAGACAATTCAATCTTTATAATGACTTAATTATTGTTATTTGTTAAGACTTGCATCTCGCTGATGCTGAACACACCCAGGCATGGCTGGTGAAGGTAGAAAGTAGGCTTCTGCGCACCCTTTCAACTACTTGACTGTAGTTTTTCATCATAGAGACAACAGATGGCCTAAGGGAAGGCAGGAGTGCCGTAAGCCTGGTGACGATACCTCTAAGCAAAGCTCCTTAAATCAAGTTTGGCCTTCACTGTTGTTCGCTTTATGGAGTGTTGAGTGAAACCAGTTGGTAATTGTGCTTGACCATCAACCATCACCATCAGTCAGGTGGTACAATACAGTTCCAGAGTTATAGGAACATAATCATAATTTGTTGCACCTATAAGGGGGTTATTCAGGGTGGTCTGTGTACATTATAGTGATTTGATGTCTTGTAGATGGTCAGTGTATTGGTTCAAGGTGCTTCCTTAGACAGTTTTACCTTTGTGCATTCACTAAATATCATATCAGCACTGTTTAGGTCAAAGCGAGTGCAAAAAAGGTCAGTTTAATTTGGTTAGTTAACAGGTGCCACTTGCTTTTAGATTTGGTTATCTTAATGAATTGCAACTAAATGTATGTTTGACTTCGCCTGTGTGTCCAAAAGTGTCTAAACACTTCTTTTTTTTTTTTTTTTTAGGGCTGCTGTATATGTTCACATGGTGATGAGAATCACTTCACTTTTCTAATAAGTGTAGAGGAGGAAGTAGATCAAGGCCAGAATGAGTGGATTAATTTAGAAACAGCAGTTGCAAGCTGACGGCCAGCTTGATCCTCAGTCCCTGCTGGTCTTCTAGTGTAGGCACAGAGATAATACAAGTTGCTCAGGAAGCAGCTGAGATGGAGAGCAGAGGTGAAGGCAGAGAATTCAGTGTTTCTAGGTCATAAAGCCCAGGATAGACTAGATCAGCTGTTTAAAAATGTTTTATCGGTGACTTTCCATGCATCAGCATTGGAAAAATACCTTAACAGCATGGCAGACACAAGCTAAAACACATGATGAAACAGTTTTCTGTTTTTACAGCTGTGTAAAGGGATCTAACCTCATCCTGTCAAATGCCATTGATATGAGGAGCATATAGAATTACAGATAACTTCACATGAACTGTCTAAAAGCTCATCTGCATGGATGGAGGTAGGCCTAAGTCCTAACCAACCACTAGTTTTCCTGTATACTTTATGACGAGTACCTTTTTGCAGCATCAAGTTGTCATGCATTCTTCATTTATTTATTTTTTTGTTAGAAAGTAAATGATTAAAATGTGACTTTTGTGTTATAGAGGAAAATCAAAACTTGGACTATTATCAGCTAAAGAACATTATCAGCTTTCTCACATATGGAATAAATAGTCTCTTACGTTTTTATAGGCACTGACACTTGCTGGTACTGCTGATAATACTAGTTTATGGCTGAAATATTGAAGGAAAAAATAATTGTAATTATTTAAATGGGATATGTTTGGATATTTTGTATGTTTAATGTTGTATGAAATCATATTTAAATAATTTAATCCCTAAACATTTTTTTCATAATTTTCTGACTGCTATCACAGACTTCTAAACCTTAATCCCTTGACCGACCCTTTATTCGTTCACTGGAAAAAAAAATGTTTTTCCCAAAATCATACACATTTCAAATAGACAGGACGTTCGAGCAGCTTGTACTAGCAGCCTGTTCTTTGTAGCATTTGTCTTGGAGTCAAAGCGCACATGGGGGGAGAGGGGGGACACCTGCTGTCCATTGAATGCCGTTTGTTCACAGGATTGGAATTAACTAGAGATGTCATCTCGTTTGGCCACTAGTTAGGGGTTAAGCTCACTCCTGATGTCCCAGTTGAGGTTTCCTTGATGCGCTTATCTGTGAACTTTGTCCTACTTTTATTTTCTGCTCCGTATTTTTACTTTTGATGGTCTGTTTCCATTAAAAAGAACAAAGGCGGCCTTGCTTTTAGCAATAAATCATTATTTATTGATGTCGCTGCCTAAATATTCAGCTGTTTGGGACTGCTTGTAGTGTGGCGTGAGATGTAAGGTTATTAATGTTGCTTAACAGACTGTCAAGAAATGTGAAGTTGCCAAGCTAATGCATGAAGAAAGTTTATAGAAAGATTAACAACATCCAGTAAGCGGTAAAACTGTTTGCACTACAACCCAGTGTGTTTATAATTAAGATAATACATTAGAATAATATGGTAAGGCACAGCAGTTTGCAATATCAAGCAGCAAAATGAGCTGTTTTTTTACAGCTTAAAATAGCTGGAAGCTGATGAGACCGGAAGCCAGACACATTCAATTTACAAATGTCCGCGCCAGCTCTTATGGGAAAAATAAGGTGGATACTATTTTGTCTTGAATAAAACTAAAAACTAAAATCACTCCTATTAAATTCAAGTAGTAAATTAAAGCGTCACAACATTATAATGTACTGTATGAAAAATGGGTATTCTAAGATTAGCTAAAGATTGCATTTAACAGTATTATTAAATTAGTAAAGATAAATGAATAACATAAACAAATAAAATGAATAGGCATGATAGGCACAATTAAATATCTAGTATATCGACTAATAATGATAAATTAAAAATATCTTTGAACTCTATGATTGAATATCTGTGAACTCAAGTGGATTGTATCAATGTCTAATATTCTAGTTGAACTTCACCCTTTTTCGTCCCTAAACACTTGTCATTGGCTGTCAATGGGTATTGCATTGAGAAAAGCATGTCTCACATGTTTACAAAGGTCAGGACTGTGGGAGTTTGGGCAGTGCTTTGCATGAATCGTTGTGGATGGAAGCCAAGCTGTGATGGGGAGGTCCAGTCAGCGGGATGATGGATGAGACTGGAGCTCTGAGTTTGTTTGGGTGAGGAGTCTGAGGACAGACCTACCAGCGGATGTGGAAGGCACACAAGGCTAACT